GCTTATTAGCTAAAATCACGATCGGAATTTTCCGGAAAATGTCACATGACATGTCTCATGATCTCTCATTTCTCTGAGACAAAATAATCTGTGATTCGAATTGTGTAGTTCTCAGATTGTTCAGATCCTACCTAGTAACCTTTATTGCCTTACCAAAATGTTGCCAAACTACCTGTTACCATATTCTAAAGATTATCCTTAACTTTAAACATTTGCTCTAATTTCATAAAAAAAATTTAAATGAGTATAGTAGACTAGCAGTTCAGTTCAAATAAAATTTTATAAGAAAAATTACCTAAAAATTATTAATGAATGGCAGAAAGGAATATGGTCGATTATGTTTCATTATTTCAAAAAATTTCATGTGTTGCTGGAAAACATGTTTTAGTAAATGTTAAAAATTAAAAACAGATTCTGCGATTTATCAGCAGACTTGGCAGCTGGACAAATCTCTATTTATTGTATTGAGAGCGGCTTTGTTTGATGTCTGTTTATTCAGACTACCCATATTATCAGCCAAAATGTATAATATAACCGTATTGAAAATTTTTGAAATAGCAGCAACTTCACAGTAATTCACTGTTTGGCTGTATATTTTGAGGTATTGATAATGATGGACGTTCGATAATAGATTAATAGTGTAGTCGAATTGAGAGAGAACTTAATTCGACTTAGATGTTAAAAATGTTCTTAGATTTTATCAATTCATTTCTGTTTCATGTGTCATTAAGTTAGATTCAAAGTTAATAATTTCTACACTTACTTTTATTTACTAATATTGCATTTTTAAAATCCCATTTTATGGGCCATGATGATAAAAACTTGCCCTCTCTGAAAAAAAAAAGTGCTGATTAGTTATCTGAGCCCAGATATGATTCCAAATTCATGTTTTTACATAGAGAAAAAAAAACTTTTATGTGTGTGTGTGTTAAAAATTTGGTTATCAGTTATATGTGTTATGTTTTGGTGGGGGAAATTGTAGTGATCACGAAACTTGCATCAAATGACCTCACTTTGATGAATTTCTCCTTGGGTTATTTGAAATCTAAGATGTACGCATCCAGTCCTGGAGTTTTTATTAGTCCTTTACAATGCTTTTATGCCTGGACTAACAAATAAACCACCAAAAAAAATTAGTAATTCTTATCAGATTATAACAGACCCCCTTATTTTGGAAGTTAAGGATTAGATTATTAATAGAAATTCTAAAATTAATGCATCATTTTGATGATTTATCAGTCAGGTTTTTTATGCTGTTAGTCAGTATTAATTTTTCACATATGTGCCAAATTTTAAATATAATAGTCTTAAAATTTTAAAATCTATTGAAGTAAAAGCATTAGGTTTAATAAAGGGAATATGTTCTAATTTTGATGCATTTTTAGTTGCCACGGCTAAAAGATTAGCCGTATCCATTACAATTTCATTTGCACATATAATGTTTTTAGTCTGAAAAGTACTGCCATTTAAATGATTAGAAAGTTGTAACCAAATACAAGATTTGCAAAAGCGTTTAATATTATTTTATATTTTTATATTGTGACGAGTCAGAAAGGTCGCAAACTCAGTTTAAACATCTAACTAGTGTTTTGTTATGATTCTTCAAGTTTTATTATTCAGGCTTTCATCATTGTATAAAACTGATATTTCCAGTTGTTATCAGTGTCCTCTGTTATTGATTGAATCAGGAAATTACTTTCTAATAGCATCAAAGCGAAGAATTTGTTCTCAGTAAACTAGCAGGAGAAAAATAACAGTGGATTGCAAAAAATAATAATAATTCAAAATTTTCATGTCAGATTGAAAGGTTTGATTGATTAGATTATTGCACAAAAGTTAACAGATTGTTGATTATTAAACTGATGAAATTGCATCAGAAAAAAAGAGTGTTTTCCTATCTGTTTCCAATATTACAAGAATTGCACCTGCCACAGTTAAGTCAAATTGCATGTACTCAAAGTACTCAAATTGCAAGTAATATTTGGGTGATAAAATTTAATTGTGCATTCTAAGACATAATTATCGGTACTTAGAAACTGTAATGACCATAGAGCGCAATTTGGCAATTTCTTATGGATGAAAATTTAAAAGTTAACTTAGCATGTGCAAGTTAGTGGTTTTCATACCTTTTTTAGAGATATCAATATTTATTTATTTATTTTTTCCAAGATTCGTAAACAATATCAACATACAGAAAAGCATACTTTAGCAATTAAAATACAAATTTGAATTTTAAATAAGAATTATTGTCGTACATTAAAAAATCACACATTTTTCTTCAAATCGTTCTGAAACTTTTTTTTTTTTCTTTTCGAGTTATTCTTCTCCCAAAGTGCACAGTGATCTATTTTCACTTTTAAAAAAATCGGAATTAAAGACTCGGCTTAGTGCCGAATATTCGACAACAGCGGCTATCTAAAAAACTCATTTCATCATTGTTCCCTTTAGAAAATTTTAGGAAAAATTCTGTATTACTGCCAAACTTTTACCATACTTTCTTTCATTGCTGGTGAATTCCACAGGCTCATAAACTAAGGCAAAAAATATCATGATTTGTGTATAAAAAACCGTAGGAACTTGGAATATAACAAAATAGAATACATATGAAAATGGCAGTGTTGAATGACTGAAACAATTATTATTAGCATTGCTGTCGGAATAATGGTTATGTGCATGTTTGCTCGAGTTAAGCAATTTCTGAAAATTTAGCTACTTCCAATAAGATGGTTGCAATAGTACGTAAGAACCTAATTATTATAATAGTAATAAAAAATATTGTACATCATGCTATGTTCATTATGTATATTTGTTAAGATGTACATGAAACATGCATGTTTTCAAGAAATGACAGCATGTTTTACTGCAATTTTCAAAATAAAGTGCTGTGTAGGTAAAGTTCTATATTATGCAGTGCTACAGCTTGGAGTTTTATTGCAATAAAAGATTGTTTTTTATTAAATGTTATAATTGTCATTTGCTTTGCAAAATCATACTTTTATTACATATGAAAACAGCTTGCATACTACTTAAGCTGATTCTCATTGCCGTTTTAAAAATTGATCTGTTGCCTAATAAACATGATCTTTTTTTGGCATTCATATGGTTTCAGTGAGTCATGGTATGCAAAATAAATGGTTGCTACAAGATATATAATTTGTTCTTATTGTACAAATATTTTATCTTGTCGCATACACATAATACTGAGTTAAATTTCCAAATGTTCACTTTAGACTTGAAATTCATTTGCATTTCTTAATAACATTTTAGTGAAAAGTATCCATTCCACAGTCTGTAAATCAATTACTTTGAACAAAAGTCAACGTTTGTTCCAATTCCTAAAAATGTTCAAGAACAATTTGATTTCTGTTTTGTGAGTAAATTATTTCACCAATTATTTGGTAATGATAGTTGAGTTTCATTGATGTGTATGTATGAATGTTGTGTTGCATTTTACTTATGCTGGATCATAGCCACTTTAAAAATTGATCTATCATTTAATAATAAGATCTACCTCAAAGCACTTGCAAGTAGTGCCAGTGTGTGAAATCAATAATTGCTGCAAAATACATATTTTATCACTTATGACACGTAATTCTTAAAATATGCATGTTTTAATCCTGAATGTAAATCTAAATGCTACCACAGCTTTTTATTCAAATTTTAATATTAAAATTATTTAATATTTAATTTTTGTAAAAGTACTTAATGTGTAGTGTCTAGTTTTGTAGGTGGAATAAAACTGTAAAATAAATTGCTTACGTTGTCAGTGCAGTCGTACCCCGCAATAATAAACTCGAAACTTTTTACCATCCAGTTTCGTATAATTTTATTTTGCACTGTTTTAGTCAACTTTCAGGAGTGTCAAAATCAGAGATGACAGGTATAATATCTTTATTTGAAACGTTTTTGGTATTTTTCAAGGATTTCTTCAAGTTTTGATGAACAGTTACTAGCCGTTAAAATCAACCAAGTTCAGGATATTAAGATCCACATTACATCCATGAAGGAAAACTTATCTTCAACTCCACTTTTCTCTGTTATAAATAAAAGCTATTCAAAATAAATGGGTGTAACAAAGTTTACATTACTTTCATTACCGTTAAAAACAGGCATAAAATAAGGCAGGGGGCATCTATTAATAAAGCTAGTTTATTTATAGTGTGGTATAAACCTTGTTCTACAGTTTTGATTAATTATTGCTGTGCTTGTTCATGCTAGTGTTAAGATAACAAAATTGGGTACTTTTCTGTTTTGCCGGCGCAAACGATAAAGTCGCCAATAATGGTACAACTAATGCCAAACAGAATATCTTCGCTGGTAATACGCCTCATTTTCAAAACAAATCGCAGCCATTTCTTACGAGATTGTTTCTTTCAATTGGCATGTGATTACATAGAATATTTACAAAGATAATTAGTAAATTTTGTGCCCTAAGACCATTTGCAGTAATTAAGTCAATTAGGATGCAATCACACCGCTCACTGGAAGGCGAAAATATAGAAAAGGCAAAATCAAGGGTTAAATTCATCAATTCTAATGAGAATGCTCTAGAAAAGTAAAGCATTGCAGTTTGACATAATTTCTCAGTAAGCTATTCATACAAATTGAAATAATTCTTGTATTCCAAATTAAGATTTAACTCAAAATTAATGTTGATAATTACTGAGAGGTCAGTGATACGAACCGGCAAATCAGGATGTTGAACCATGATAGCATAGTAAATTCTTAAATTAATGTCTTTTTACAAATTTATTGGCTTTTTAAAAAATTCTTAGAACAAACATTTGTTAACATTTTTTATGTGCATACTGTATGTTGTCGCTAGCGAGATTTGCGCCGCCGAAACGGAAAAGTACCCAAAATTGTAGTATATGCTAGCATTGCATATAAGAATGTATAGAAATATCTTTGAAGTGTAATTTTATGTAGAGAAAGAAAATGAGGTCATTTTTTATATGTTTTTCTTTTAGCTTCATATCAGTTCTTTTTTTCTGTTTCAGTTGGGTACTCACTTAAGAGCAAAAAGGAAGCGTGATGAATTGTCCAATGTTTTGACTGCCCAGAGAAAGGCTGCTGCCCACAGAGAAAAGGAAGGAAAATAAATACATGTTGTTGAAATAAAAGACTGTATTTATATGTGATTGTTTCTTTGTTTTTCCCCTTTCTTATACCGTTTATGGGAATCTAATCCCTTAATTTTTTTTAAACTGTGGACATTTATTTTTCATACTAGTTGCTTTTTAGCAAAATTCTAGTTGCATTTGATATAGCTGAACCACAGAATTTTTTTATATCATGCAAAAAATAATTCCATGTCTACATAGTAATAAATAAAACATGTTTTGTGTAGATTGAGTAAACAATTTTATTTTCTAGAATACAAACAGTTTCCTTTGAAATGTTGGTAATTTTAGTTAAAAAATTAAAATTAACATCATCAGCCATACAGGCTTTCAATGATGATAGTATGCATTATTATATGTATATACATGTAATTAAAGTATTTTATCTCTAAAATTGAAACAAAAAATTTTGAGAAAACTTAAATTTCTAAAGAATGTATTTATGTTTTTTAAATGACAAAAAGCAGCTTTTTTCATTTCTTACATAAGATGAGTTCTAAAATAACTTTTAATTGTATTTAGCTGTATCTGTCATAATTTGTTGAAGTAGTGAACTAAATGTTTTTATTTGTCCGTTGAAATCGTGGACTGTTCTAGCCTTTTTTTTTTTTATTATTTTTTATTATTCCGCATTTTTGATGCTGCGTGAAAAATTCATACTAAAAAATTGAATAAATGTTAAAATGCATGACATAATAATTAAATTTAATAATTTAATTTTTATCTGTTAACTGGGTATGACGAAATTTTTCGTCATGCTGGGAAGACTATTTCAATGGTTGTGATGAAATGTTTCATCATGCTGGGAAGACTATTTCAATGGTTGTGATGAAATGTTTCATCATGCTGGGAAGACTATTTCGATGGTTATGGCGAAATGTTTCGTCATGCTGGAAAGACTATTTCAATGGGCATGACGAAATTTTTCTTACATTTTTTTGCAATCTGTCACTTCACCGTTGTTCAAGAAAAATCGATCAATGGAAACACTTTTCTGCTCATAAATTGTGATAACACTCCTAATTTGCACAACTTAATTTCATTTTAGTCTGCATTTCAGTATTTTACATATTAGTAATAGCTTGTTGATTTGAATAATTGTTAGTTTTTTATAAATATGGCTAAAAATTATTGTGAAGCAGAAAATAATTTTTGAATTGTCTGAAAGTGACGATGAAATATTGCCCGGGAGGTTTGGTAAACAACATCGAATTCTTAGAATAAGTACCAGTTTGGAAGAAAGCGATAACGACTTCTTTACTGATGGTCCGGACGAAAAATCAAAGGGTGATGATGTTATAGACCAAAATACTCAACCGACATCAGCTGAATGGAAATGTGAAAGAATATTGCGATCGCCTTTCCAGTTTTTATCTCGATCTAGACTTGCATTTGAAGATGACCTGAATAAATGAGATTTTTTTTACTAATTTTGCAAGGAATAAATAGGAAAACCTTATCAGCTTCATTTAACAAAGCGAGAAAGTCTGGGGATTCCATTTTTTTATAAACTATGTCAGAAAAAAGATTCCAACAAAACCTACAAAATCGATTCCATTTTGAACTATTTGAGAAACAAATTCAAGTTGTTATATGTACCAGATAAGGAAATATCTGTAGATGAGTCTCTTTTGCTATGAAAAGGAAGACTGTTCTTGGAAACAGTACATTCCATCGAAAAGAAATCGATTTGGTGTTAAATTGTATAAGATATGTGAATGTAAATCCGGATACATAAGTAATTTCATTATATATACAGGTAAAGACGTGCTGTATGGTTCGAACTATCCAGAAGAACAGGGACCAAATCGTATTGTTTTTGAATTGTGCCACGATTTGTTGGATAAGGGATATATGCTATATCTCGATAATTGGTATACTAGTACTGATCTAGCTGAGAAGATGTGCAGAAGAAAAACCGATGTTGTAGGAACAATGCGAAAAAATAGAAAGGGAATACCATCTGATATCAAAAATTGTGTTTTGAAAAAAGATGAACATATTGGCATATATGAAAATATGGGAGGAATTGATCTTGCCGACGGACAAATGAAAACTTATGATATCGCTAGAAACTAAGTAAAAAAGTATTGCTATAAGATATTTTTACATGCACTAGACATGGTGTGTTTGAATGCATATCTTTTATACAAGAAAGATGGCGGTCACCTAGATAGGCTTCATTTCCTTATCGAAACTGTAGAAAAAGGTGTTGAAAATTATAGAGACGGATTGCAGTTGCCATCTACTAGTACAGGATGATCATCTTTGACACCAAAACCACCTCGACTCTTTGAAAGACATTTTCAGACTATATACCATCCGACTCTTCAAGAGTAAATGTAACGAGGAGATGCAAATTATGCTATTCCAAAGGTCTTAGGAAAGAATCGAGATTTTGGTGTCCCGACTACAGTGTTGCTTTGTGTATGCCGCATTGCTTTAGGGAATATCATACGAAATAATTGTTTACATTCGTTCAATTAATTTGTTTTTCTGGATTAAAAATGTTTAATTTTAATATTTAATATCATTAAATATTTTAAAACGATTTTCTTTTATTCATTCCTTGCGATGTGCCGAAATTACTGCAAAGGAGTCTCCATTGTGAAACGATTTTACTGAAAGCTTATTCCCCAGTTAACAGGTTAACAGTGGTTTTCTAAGAAGTTTTTTAGGGGAGAGAGGAGTAAGGCAGTAAACAAGGTTTAATATCTAAATTATACATCATCACCTCCCATAATATTTTAATAAACTGAATTTTGAAAAAAATTTAAACATTTATGGTGGTCAACTTTGTTGTTTTTTTTAAAGTGTATTCTAAACAGTGAAAGAGATGTTGGTATCTCTCCCTTTTTTTTTAACAAAGGACTATTTTAATTTTTTAGTGTGAGTTTACATTATGCTTTGGTCTTCATGAAAATAAACGCTTGCATTCCATTTCATATCCAGTATTTTCAGTTTTCTAGAGACAACATTGCATGAAAATATAACTAAGGAATGGTTGCTATTTCAGAAGTGTATATTGTAAGATTACATGTACGGAAATAAGAGAGATACCAAAAAAGACTTCTAGTATGGGTTCTTTTCCCAGTTCAGAAGCATCTGGAAGATTTCTGAAGACAGGTGATGCTTTTCAAGAGAACAGAAGAGTTTTTTTTTTTTTTTTTGCAAGTACTCTTCTGAGTAATGTTAAAATAGAAGGAGGGAGAAAAGGTCTGAACAAAAGTATTTATTAGTCAGCCAAGAAGATTCAGATCAAGGCTTTCATCATTGGAAAAAAAATAAGGCTGACTTATCTTTCATACAGAGTAGAAAACCACTTCTAAAATTCCTATGTGCAAGTGTTTTAACCTTCATGACAGTTATCAAATGGAAACACGCAGACTTCCAGGCTAAACTAATTAGAAGCATTCAAATCTGAATCACTGAAAGCCATGGTGAAGTATATGAATTCCTTAAATATGCTAGTATGGAATATTCTGAAGATGACATGGCTGCGCAGTGCATTTTGCAATTGAGATGAAAATGTTTCGCTGGAAGCTTTGTCTCTCCAGGTTTTCCTCAAAAACCTGATTTTTGGTAAGTTAGCCAATCAAATATCCTAAAAGCGAAAATTCCCAGGAATATTTCTTTCGATGCACTGTAAAGAGGGAAGGTTCTGACAATTTTTATCGCCCCCCTCCCCCGTTTGGTTACAAGATTGCTAAAAGTCTGAGGATGCTCTTATCTGTGGGAAGTTATTAATATTTGAATGCAGGGCCAAGATAATCACTTTTGGCACTTTCAGGAGCAAAAATTTTAACCGCTTTCAAAAATTCATTGTACTCCCTGGAGAAAGCCTTTGACACAGGGATGGGAGGGGTTTCTTTGCTGTCTGATCTTCCGTCAAAGGCTTATTTCTTAGGGGAGAAAGGCATGTTAGAATCGATTTTTAACGTTTAGTTATTAGTAAAATAAAATTTTTGTGTTCAGTTATCTACTGAAATTGCATACAAGAAGTGCCGAAGCTGTCTTATCTACGACTCCAGTGAGCTCCGAATATATCAAAGATTTACCTCAGGCATCGAGAAGTCCGGAAGCCGGACTCTAATGTTACCCGGCACAGTATGCAATTTGTAAGCTCTGTTCCTAAATGTGTAGTGTGTGTAGTCTATGCAGCATGTATAATGTTTCTAAAACACGGCAAACCAGAAGTCCTCTTTTGTGGTTATTAATGGGGAAAGAGAGATGGGACAGCTTCGAATCACCTGCGTCAAAATAGGGGTGACTTTTAAGAGCTAAGCATGGCAAAATTACACCAGAGCGACCAATGGTGAACCTTTGGTGTTGCGCCCGCCTTTACCTGTAACTCTAGCAATTTTTACGGCCAACATTGAAGCCATGAAAGTATTGTGGTCGACTGGTCGGAAAGTGAGTCTATAGAGCGAAGCATCTGGTGGGAAAGGAAACGTATACATTCAAGACCGAGCTCAGAACTAATCTGCGCTGTATTACAGCATTCGGATTGTTTGGAAGATTCGCTTCGTAGGAGAAAATGCAGGAACATTTGGAGCAGCAGTTCACTGCAAAATTGCCCGAACTGGATATTGCTTTCAGCGCCATTTTTAGATGATTGCAAAAGGTGCAGGCAGTTGCGATGCGTGCTCTCCAAGGCATTTCAGATCGAGATTTCCTGCGCTACTTAGGGACTATGGCACCAACCTTAAATCACTGCACTGAATTTCAAGGATCTTCGTTTGACGAATATTGCGTTTATTTGGACATAATGGTAATAAAACGATTTTGTCCGAATTACACTCATTTCTTTTGGGGCAGACCAGGGGCGTAGCTAGAGGGGGCATCTGTTCCCGGGCGCAGAATCCAAGGGGCGCCAAACTGATGTTACGGCATTTTAGAATTAAATGTTTTCCATCCTTGGCAAGCAGTAGGGAGCGCGAAATCTTCAGTTGTCCCTGGGCGCAGAAAACCCTAGCTACGACTCTGGGGCAGACATTCAATAAGAATCTAAATTACTG